CTTGGAGACCCTCTGGTGCAGTTCCACTCTGTCCTGTAGGGGCGCTGTGGGTCAGAATTGACTCCACGGCAGTGGGTGTGGTTTGGGCTTTGCTTCCGTGAAGACTGACAGCCTTGGAGACCCTGTGGGCAGTTCCACTCTGTCCTCTAGGGGCGCTGTGGGTTGGAATCGACTCAAGGCAGTGGGTTTCTGTTTTAGAAATAAGGGTTGTGGTAGTTAAGGTTGTGCGTCAACTTGGTTGGGTGGTGGTGTTGTGTGGCTTGGCAGCAGGATGTAGTTATTCCCCGTGATGAGATTGTAATTATCTCCATAGTGGAATCTACTGTGAGCAGCCGAGTAGTTGCCTCTGGGGTGTGGCCTGCTTCCAGTACACATGGAGAAGCTTTGAGCAAGGTCTCCAGCTTTTTGGCACATTAGATCCTGCGTTTGGCTTAGTCTTTGTAGCCAGTGGCCTGTTGAGTTGTTGCCGATCTTGGGGTTGCTCCTGGACTTGAACTGGTGACCTGCGGTGTTGCCTCCTGATCTCAGGTTTGTGACATTTTACCTGCCGATCTGGGATTTGTCAGCCTCAGCAGCCAGCAGCTGCCTGAGTTAAGAGATGCCTCTGGCTTCAGGGCCTGGAACAAGAGGCAGAGCTGAAGCCCAAGGCTGACGGCCTTTCCCCAGCCCCTATAGCTGGCACTCTGAATTTGGACTTGTAGCCTCCCGAACTGTAAGAGAGTGAACTCCTGTTTGCTGAAGCCGTCCACACGTGGTCTGTTATGGCAGCTCTAGAGAACCAAGAGAAGGGTTTAGGTTTTACCCTTAACCTGGTGGGGGCTGTGGAGATGCTGTATGGCCGGGAGGGACATGGTCAGGATTGCTGCGTCAGATGGTAACTCTCTCAGCTGACACATGAGAGAAGACATAGTGGTTTAGGAACCAAGTGGAATTCATTGGTGTATTTGAGTGAAGGTCTACAGGTGTTGGCTTCAGGCAAAGCTTGATCCAGCACACGCATGGTGTCACTCAATTTTGATCTCTCCTCTTGCTCTGTTGACCTGATGCCTTTACTCTTAGGTTCTGTGGGTTGGCGAGACAATGGGACAGCCCCAGCATGCATCCCTTCTGTGCCCGGTGCAGTGGGAAGGGGCATCTGTCTCCTGCATCCCACTAACTTGTGCTCCCTTGAATGGTCCACTCCCATCCCCATGACTGTGCTCCGGGAGTGCACTGTGCTGACTGGCTGGGCCTGGGATGCTGCTTCTCTTGGGGGTGGGGGCCGAGACCCACTGAATAGAAGGCTGGGTGTGGCAGAGGGCGGGGCCGACTTCTCCCAAGAAAGGCGGAGTCCTGTTTGACCAGAACAGTGAGTGGAGGCCGGGGAGCAAATCCGGGACAATCCCCTGCAGAAGGTGCATGGGGGGCAGGGTGTGGGGTCGGTGAGAGGAGGGGAGAGGTCCCCTGGCCTCCTCAAGGGCGGGGCGTGAGGGACAGACTCTTCTGAGGGTGCTCCGGGGACCAGCCTCTTGGCTTCTATTGCCGCCTTGTGTGCTCTGCACGAGTGTAGGGCCTCTGCTTCCATCCACACTCCTGGAATCATGTGATGATCCTGGTGGTCTCGGGTGGTTGAGGCTGTCCTGGGTTGGCCCTCACCTGGCCTTGTCTTCCAGATCGCCGGCTGCGTCCCCTTCTTAAGAGCCTTCTATGTGCCGGGTGCTGGGCTGGGCTGCTGGGTGCAGAGTGACCAGGACACGTGTGCCCACCCCCTGTGCTCAGCCTGCACCGTGCTCTCCGTAGTGGGGAGCACAATGGATTGTCCCCAAGCCATGTGTTGGAGCCCTCATCCCTGTACCTGTACCTCTAATCTGATCTAATCTAACAAAATCTCCTTTCACAATGCAATGTCATCAATCAGTTGAGGTCATACCAGTTACGGGGGATCTAAACCTGGCTCACTTCTGAGTTATGCACAGACACAGAGCTCCCTGGGGGTGCAAAGGCCCAGACCCCACTGCTCACTGACAGGCTGGTGGTCTGAAGCCACCCGGCAGTGCCACAGAAGAAAGGGCTGGTGACCTGCTCCCATAAAGATTCAAGAACACCCCATGGAGCTGCTTTATTCCGTAACGTGAGTCGGAATCCACACCAGGGCAGTGAGTTGGATTTTTGTTTTGGTTTTTACGGATAGACATAGAGATACGTGTGTGCACACAGGCAAAGACGAATGGTACGTGAGACTTGCCAAGAACCAAGGTACGTCCGGGGCTGCCAACAAAGTAGGAGTCAACACACCCGAGACCCTGTGTTGAACTGTGTCCCCTAAAGTAATAGGTGTTGTGAATCCTAACTTCTGTGCCTGTGGTTGTAATCCCACTGTGAATAGGCCGTCTCTGTTCTGACAGTGAGATAGGATTAGTGCAGGGCATGTCTTGAGTCCATCTCTTTCGAGATATAAAAGAGGTTAAAACAAGCGAGCGAGGAAGCAGAGTTGGGGGAAGAGAGAAGCCCAGCCACATAGAGATGCCCCAGGAGCAGAAGCCCACAAGGGACAAGGTCTTCCCCCAGAGCCCACACAGCGAGAAAGCCTTTCCCCAGAGCCGGCATCCTGAATTCATACTGCTAGCCTCCTAAACGGTGAGAAAATCAGTTCTGTTTGTTAAAGCCACCCCCTTGTGGTATGTGTGTTATAGCTGTGTTGGTGGACTAGGACTCTGATTTGGACGTTCAGCCTTCAGAACTGTGAGCAGACCAGTTCTTGTTCTTCAGAGCCGCCTACGCATGGTGTTTCTGGTATGGCAGCAGCAGGACCCGGCCGACAGCCCGCGGGCCCAGCGTGGTGCGGTGGTACGTGTGCTAGATACCCAGCTGTGACATGGGATCTGCCTGGACAGCTCCTGAGGAGGGTCAGTGGTGCCCTCTTTTGACTCGCGCCTTACTGAGACCCTCACACGTTCACTGCAGCCTCTGAACTTACTGCGTCTTGAACACCAGCAGGGAACCTCGTGCCCCAGCCAAGCAAACGCCATAAATCAGACGTCTGAGCTGTGCCACCCTTACGTCTGGGCGGCCCTTGCTCATCCCTGGACACCTTGTCAGCACAGCCCAGAAACACGCCCCCGGCCTAGAAGCCACAGTGAAGGCGACTCCATAAACACAGCGGCTCATTACAGCGGCGGCGGCCCACGTGACAGAGCAATTCCTCCACGGCTCCCGACAGACAGCCGGGCTACAAGGGGCTTTCGTTGGAGTTTTGCTACATGGACTGTTGAAGCCATTTCAGTGTTTCCCCCAGCGGGGTCAGGAGGGCTGTGCTCTCTGGGGTCATAAGCTCTTACTGGACAGGTCACTGCTGTCATCCAATTAGTAATGCCTGGAAGCTTGGGGATTGAGCCAGGAGGTCACGAGCCCTGGGATGGTCTGGGCCTTACCCTTCACATGTCCTTTTGTTTTTTGACTAGGAATAAGTTGCTCCTTTAAATTAGGACCTTGGAGCCCATTCCAGTGGGAGCCCGGGTGGTGCAACCGTTAAGTGCCCGGCCGCTAACAATAGGTTGGTGACTGGAACCCACCCAGCAGCTCTGAGGGAGAAGCACCCGGCAGTCAGTTTCCATAAAGGCTACAGCCTAGGAAGCCCTATGGGGCAGTTGTGTTCGGTCACACAAGGCCGCTGGGAGCCGGAATTGCCTGGTTGGCACCTGGCGGCAGCAACAGGCTCGTTCTAGGAGTCCCTGGGTGGCACACATGGGTAAGCGCCAGAGCGCTGACCGGAAGGTTGGCAGTTCAAACCCAGAGGCAGCTCCTGCAGTGGATCCGGGTGACTGAGGACTCTCTAGAGCACCGTTCTCTCTGCGCACTCGGGGTCTCCGTGAGTCGGAATCCACTGGACGGCCGCGAACAGGAAGCTCATCCCAATCACGTGACCCTTGGAGGTCAGGAAAGATGGCCCGAGCCGTGGAGTCTGATGCTGTTTTGTTCTTTGGCTCTTACTTGGGTCTTGTTTTAACCCCTGAGCTGCGAGCGTTTCCCAACGCAGCACAGCTTGCTTTATTTTTAGAAGAGCCGCTCGGTGAAGAAGACCTTTGTGGCTGAGGAACTTGATTATGCAGATAAATTATAACTTCGTGCAAAGCACCTACCCCTCTGAGTGCAGACGGAGGTTGGAAATTCATCGAAAGCTCTCGTTGCCCTGGAGGGGCCCGGGAAACCTTACGTAACCGTAACCGAGATTTCTCCAGGTTCCGCCCTGGCACACGTGGGGGTGAGCAGCCCCTGGTTTTCAGGCCCTGGGCTCCGCCCCCTTCCCCAGCTGGGAGGGGCCCGGGAATGGCAGCTGAACAGAGATGTGCCCCGTCCACCTCTAGCTTGCTTTTTCCTGGAGGCCCTGGAGACCCCTCCGTTTCTTTGAGGAGGATCAATTGCAACTGGAAGTGGGGTGTCTTGAAAAGGGGTGGCTAAATGCCCAGAATTGAGGCAGTGGCCCTGCCCTTTCCAAGTTCTGCCTTGGTGGGGGCTCAGGGAAAGAGCACCAGTTTTATGGGGTTTCTCTTGATCCACTTCAATTTCTCCCCTGTTCTTTTGTCTGGTCTGAAAACCCAGGAAGTATGTCTGTGGTGGACAGAGTCCCCATGGGTGGCAGACTCTCTGCTGTGTTAAAATGACACATTTATAGAAATGCCACAGAATGGAATCGCGGCCGCTTCCTCCGAGTCCCCGTGGCTCAGCTCCCCTGGCTTTTTGTCCTCGGCCGAACCACCTGCGGGCATCGCCCGAGAGATTCCTGCACCCCAGGCTTGTCAGGGGTCGGGTCGTGATGCCCTCCTTTCTGCCCTAGTTCCCGTCCCGGACTAAGAGCCCAGTCAGCCTGCAACGCTTTCCTTTAAGGTAACCCTTTCAAAGGTGCGTTTGCCCAACAGTGTCAGGACAAAGAGAAGAAAGATCGCCAGCAGTCCTTTTGGAAGGAGCCTGGGCTAAAGAAAGGAAGGAAGGGACCCCTATGAAGGAAGAGATAAAACACAAAGAGAAAAAAGAGAGTCAGAGACAGAACCGTTGCCTTTGGGCCAAGGTCTAAACGGCAGGCGTGTTATGAGGAGTTTGCAAGTGGCCGGCTCTTACTTTCTGGTTCTTCCGCCTCCCTTGCCGCTCCTATGATTCCAGATCATGTTTGTTGTCGTTTGGCGAGTCTCGGCTGATCTTTGGGGGAGGAATGGAAGGGCAGCAGGCCTTGGGAGCACACAGTTGTTCATTGATCCAATGAACGCTAAACCCACAACCGATTCAGCTTTAGCTTCACGGCGACCCCATGTGTGAAGGGAAAAACTGACCTTCAGGGGTTTTCTTCCAAGGAGCTGCTGGATGGGGTCAAACCGCCAACCTTCTGGTTAGTAGCTGAGTGTGAACTGTCCCACAAAGGGACCTCGGCCGCCAGTGTTTGTTGGGTGCTTGCGGTGTGCCTGCGCTGGTTCCAGGAACCCGTCCGCTTCGGTCTTTGTGATCTCTCTTCTAGGTGGGTTGGCTCCCATTTTACAGATGGAAACTGTGCTTCCTGCTACCTCGAGTCACACAGCCCTGCAACCGGCTCTTTTCCGAACCATGTTCCCACCCCAGCAGTAACTCAGTTCCTGGGCACACAGTGGGTCTTGAACACCTGGAGGGGTGAGAACACTGGCACCAGGTTGCTGGCTTCAGATCCAACTCTGCCATGTATGAGCCGCGTGATCTGGGGTGAGCCCGTGGTCCAGGAAAGGGCTGGTTGCAGGGCTGTGTGTCTTGAGGTAGGAGGATGCACCCAGGAGGGCTTCCTGGAGGAGGTGGCCACAAAGCTGAGGCTCAATGATGAGAAGCACTTAGCTGGGCACAGAGAAAGCCAGGAAGGACCAGGTGGAACTGGATTAGGTCCTGAGTCTGGGGCTCACTGGTGGTGTGAACCAGGTGGCTTCATGTCTAGGAGGTGGGGGCCCAGCATCTCCCTTACAGACTCATTAGGAGTACGGATGAGTGGGCTACTTGAAGATGTCTGTACCTAGTAGGTGCTCAGGAAATGTTAGTGGCCCTCTGCCCCCTTCCCATGGACTGTCACGGATATAGTGGGGCAGTGTGAATGGCTACTGACCTAACCCACCCAAAGGTACCTCCCAAGAGAGGCCTGGCAATCTGCTGAAAAGTTAGCCATTAAACCCTCTGGAGCACAGTTCTGCTGACACACGTGGGGTGGCCATGAGTTGGAATCAGCTTGTTGGCAACTGGCACTAATTCGCTTTGACCAGAGGTTGCAGATGGGTGGTCCCTGGCTGGCCCACAGAATTCAAATTACTTGCCCACATTTATAAACTGGGAAAGCCCACATACACTCCAAATTTCCAGCTTTTCTTGAAAATTCAAAAAGTCTTCCTCTTCCAGGAAGCCCTCTTGGGTGCTCCCTCCTACTTCAGTCTCCTTCCCATTGCCCAGCTCTTGCCTGGACCGTCTTCCTCACCGGCCTGCACCTCCCACTGTGCCCCCTGGGCTCAGCTGAGGAAGGGACAGCCCCAAGGAGACAAAGTTGTAGCAAAGGGACACTCACATTTCTTTTCTGACTTGGCCTCCCCGGTCCCACTCACCCTCCCGGTGCTTTGCCAGCCCAGCCTCTGCTTTGTGATGCCTGAAGGTGACCTGTTTGGCCCAGTGGCAACGTGTTGGCATCTGTTCCCCGGTGGTTAGCACGAGCTCTCATTCTGGGCATAATGGGGGCCAAGGCTGCCTTCTGAAACAACAGCAGATGCTTGAGCACTTTCCACAATGACCGGTGTCATGAAGCCGGCCCTGGGGTCCCTTTGAACCAGCCCCCCAGCCAGCGCAGTGTTGTGACTCAGGACAGCCGGCCTTTCGCATCTTTGAAGTTTGTCTTTCTGACAAATGGACCAGTACTTGAAAACGCCAGACGTTCCTGGGATCAGCCAAAGCCACTGGGCCGGCAGGGTGAGCAGGCCTGGTTCAAGGGGAGTCTTCCTTCCAGAATTCGGGCTGACCCCCCGAAGACCACAGTCAGATTCAGACCAAAGCTCCTCAGAGAAGAGGACCCAGTATCAGGCCCGGGAGTCGCCATCACGTGGCCCAACTTGCCGCCCCTCTGGGCTCTGGGCCTCGTGCTTCCAGGGACACGAGGGCCTGGCCCCCTGCTCCCCTCGGCCCCCGGGGGCCCCTCCCTGGGGCCGTGACACAGCAGCATTAGTTAGCCACATCCGGCCTCCTGGTTGCCGACACGTGCCCTGTGCCAGGCGCTGAGCCCTCACTGTCACATTTAAGCTGTCACCACGTTACAGGTGGCAGACAGGCTCCTGGAGGTGAGTGTGCTCAGGCCTGGGCTCTGGCCGCTGTGCGGTGTGGCCTGCTGGCCACATCCTCCCCTCCTCCCCCTTCT